TAAAATTTGAAATTTATTTTTTTAATTTAAAAAAACTCATTTTTAATTTTTATCTTTAAAATTTTTTGTCATCATTAAAACTTAACAAAAAAAAATTAAAAATGATCCGATTTTGAATTTTAGAAACTAAAAAAGTTTTTTTTAAGTAAAAAAAGTTAAAAAAAATTTAAAGTAATAAAACTTTAAAAAAAAATTTATCAAAGTTTTATCCATTACATTTTTGTTTAACGTGATGCGCTCCATACCTCGCATAAGCATAAGAACAAGTTAGTCAACACCATCAAACGCCTTAAAATTAACGAAAACACCTTAAAATTTTGTATCAGTCACTCTTCCTTTGCCATCCTCCTTATACCATGTCGCAAATGCCGGTGCCTTCCACTCCTTGCGCCTCTACCAAACCCTCTTTCCTCAGCGTGCTACCCCGGCCTGAACTGGTGGTATTCCAGTACGAGGCCAAGCTTCCTCCCCCACATAGTCGCTCCCTTGCAACCTCCCCACCTGCCTCAGCCCGTCAAGGAGCAGCCTTTAGCCTTTTCACCTGCCCCCTACACCCTCCCTTTTCCACACAGCAGCCACACCACTCATAGCCTCTTCCCCAAATAAATTAGAAATCAAAAAAATATAATCAATTAGCAATTATCATTAAGAATACTAAAAGTCAAATAATCAATAATTAAAAGCTTAAAGTCAAAAACAATTGGTAATTACAAAAGAAAAAACCATGCAGAAATGACTTAATGGTTAATATTTTAAAATTTTAAATTTTAAATTTTAATTTTGAGTTTAATAAAAAGAAATTAAAAAATATTATTTTTATATAAATCATTGTCATCATATGTTATAAAAAAAAAAATTGCAAAAGAGCATCCTGATTAAAGAAAAAGGTGTTAGAACAATCCAATTGTATTTTGAATTGAGAGTAAAAATGATGAGTTTAGGTAATGAATTATGTTATATAAGTGATAAATAAGTTTTTTACCTAATAATTAACATATATATTGTAATTTGTTATTTTATAGTTAAATTTAAAGAAAATTTTTAATATTTTAGGCTGGGCTTATGGTCTCATTCTCTAGGCGCATGACTTAAGGGTTTTATTCCTCATGGTATCTGCATTTTCCCAACAATGTCTCTAAATATTGTAGTTTTTAATTTTTATACTCTTAATTGTTATAAAATGTATGACTAATATATATATCGTTTTTATTTTTTGAACATTATATCTTTTTTTTTTAGATATGTTAAAAATTAAAAATTTTATGTTAAAACCCTCATGTTCAAGTTTTAATATAAGTAAAGAGAGGTATGAAAAAATAGATAGTCATTTTTTTTTTTGATGTATAATTCATTATATTATAATATCATAAATTATTATTATAATTCAACGGTTATAACTTTTTTAAAAAAATGATAATATTTAAAAATTTAAAATTTAAATATTAACAATTACAATCCCTATCCTCTAACTGTGCTAGTTAACATAAAAAAAAATAAAAAATTATGCCATAATATCAAATCCCAATCCAAGGCTACAGAAGGCAGCGGGTCATTAGTGCCGGAATGTCTGCCAAGACCCAGAGAACGAGAAACCATATATTGCCAGTTACGTAATTTTGAGAAAGTTGAAGTCCTCTACATATTACCGGCCAACATAAATGCACTCAGCTTAACTCAACTCTAGTGCAGGGCCTGTCAGCTGCAGGTTGTAGGGAGGATTTTTTTATTTAAAAAATATAAATTATATTAAATATTATAATTTTAAAAAATATTATAATTTTTTATAAATTGATCCTTTTTTTTTATTTTGTGGTAAATCTTAAAAGCATTAATTCTTTCACGAGAGTTTTTTATTTAAATTTTAATAAAATTCATACATTATTTTTATTTTCTTTTTACATTTTATTTTATTTACAAAAATAACACTTCCACAGTAAATTCCACTACAAATTCTTTTCAATAAAATTTTTATTTAAAACTTCAGCCACACACGAATTAAGCTTTCCCTCCGTCCCTTCCTCCCTTCCTCCCTCCTAACACCTTCCCTGGACGGACCCTGAAAATCTATGGAGGAAAGAGCAGGAAAGTGAGGGAAAATTTTAGTGAGCAAAGGAAAATAGGGGGAATATTGCATAAAATTTTCTTGAGATATTAGGAGAAAGAAAC